CCCGACGGGCGCCCGGGCCTTTGTCTGCGGCGGAGCGGAGGGCCGGCGGGGGGCGCTGTCCCCGGAGCGGAGGGCCGGCGGGGGGCGCTGTCCCCGGAGCGGAGGGCCGGCGGGGGGCGCTGTCCCGGGCTCGCGGTTGCATCCTTGAAGCCGCCCTGGCGGCCGCACCCCGCCTCCTCCTCAGCCGTCCAGCCTGTGCGCCCGAAGCCCAGACCGGCCTGCGAGGACGGGGCGGGAGACACCCCGGGCCCGGCGGGAGGACGGGGACCGCCCCGAGGGAGGAAGGGCGCGGGGGCGCGGGGGGCCGGTGCGGGGGGCGGGGGGCCCCGGGGAGGAGGGCGCGGGGGCCGGTGCGGGGTGCGCGGGGGCCGGTGCGGGGGGCGCGGGGGCCGGAGCGGGGGGCGCGGGGGCCGGTGCGGGGGGCGCGGGGAGGAGGGTGCGGGGGGCCGGTGCGGGGGGCGCGGGGGCCGGTGCGGGCGGCGAGAGGAAAAACAAGTGCGATGCCGCGTGGGGAGCGCGCCGGGGCGGCCCGCGGGCGGGAGGAGCGGGAGCGGGAGCGGGTCCCGCAGGCGGCGGGGAGGCCGGGGCCGGGGTGGGGAGCCCCAGGCAGACGGACCGGGGATGCAGGGCCCCTCCTGCCGCCAGGCCGGGCGCACGGGGCGGTGGGGTCCGGGGATCCACATTCTTCCCTTCCTCCCTCCGCTCACCGCCGATCGATGCCCCGAGGGCCGCCCCCCCTCCGGTCCCCCTCGCCCCTCTCCGGGTCCCCCCGTCCCTCCTCCCCCCCCGTCTCTCCTCCCCCCCCCCCCCCCCCCCCCCCCCCCCGCTAATATGGTTTTAATGAGTTCGCGGGGCTTAGGGCGCGGGCCGCCCCGGGGCGGATTCCCGGCAGATGTTTGGGGCGGCGGGCGGCGCGGGGGGGACAAATCTCTCCTCCAGGGCGAGGGCAGGGATCCTCCAACGTGTGAAAGAAAGACGGGCTTTCACGGCCCCAAAAATGTATTTCCCCGCGGACAATGGGCTCCTGTCTGCGCCTCCCGGGCCGGCGGGCGGGGAGCGGGGAGGTGCGAGCCTGGGCCCCGCCCGCCCCGCGCCCCTCCGCCGGAGAGCCCCCCAACCCCCTCCGCCAGGGTGCCCCCCAACACGCCCTCCGCCAGGGTGCCCCCCAACACGCCCTCCGCCAGGGTGCCCCCCAACACCCCCTCCGCCAGGGTGCCCCCCAACACCGCCCTCCGCCAGGGTGCCCCCCAACACCCCCTCCGCCAGGGTGCCCCCCAACACCGCCCTCCGCCAGGGTGCCCCCCAACACCCCCTCCGCCAGGGTGCCCCCCAACACCCCCTCCGCCAGGATGCCCCCCAGACCCCCCCCTCCGCCAGGGTGCCCCCCAACACCCCCTCCGCCAGGGTGCCCCCCAACACCCCCTCCGCCAGGGTGCCCCCCAACACCCCCTCCGCCAGGATGCCCCCAACACCCCCCTCCCGCCAGGGTGCCCCCCAACACCCCCCTCCACTGGAGTGCCCCCCAACACCCCCTCCGCCAGGGTGCCCCCCAACACCCTCCTCCCACCAGGGTGCCCCCCAGACACCCCCCTCCCGCCAGGGTGCCCCTCAACACCCCCCTCCACTGAAGTGCCCCCCAAAACCCCCCTCCCGCCTGGGTGCCCCCCAACACCCCCCTCCACTGGAGTGCCCCCCAACACCCCCTCCGCCAGGGTGCCCCCCAACACCCCCCTCCGCCAGGGTGCCCCCAACCCCCCGCGGAGGCGCTCCCCAGACCGGGGCGCACAGGCGGGATGGTCAGCGCCCTCGGGTCCAGCCGCTCGGCCTGGAGCCCCTCACGCTGCGCGCCCGGCCTCGGGGTGCGGCCCTCCGTCCTGGGGGAGCAGGAGGGCTCCGGGGCTCAGCGGCCCGCGTCCTCCCCGCGCTCCGCCCCGCGCGGGGCAACAGGTAGCTATCCCCCGGCGGCTGCGGGTCCTGAGCTCCTCCTCACCTGCCGGGGCGCACCCCCCAGGCTGCCTGCGCCCCACCCCGCACCCCCAATCCGCAGGCCGGTCACCTCCCTCGGCTCCCTCCGCTCCGGGGGCGCGGCGGCGGGAGGGACAGGCCGCGGGGTGACCTCGAGGGCCGCGGCCGATCGATTGGTTCTGCCGGAGCCCGGGCCGCGAACGGGCCGCGGGATAAAGATGTTCTCGGCGGCGAGGGGGCCGGGCGGGGGGCGGCCATTCACTCGGCCCGGCCCCTCGGGAAACGGCCCGAAGAAAGGGGCCGGGGCCTATTCAGCCCTACGAGCGGCCACAAAGGCCGATGTACTGGGGCCTCTCTATTAACGCCATGAATATTGAGGAGCCGGGGCGGCGGGCGGGGCGGGCGGCCTGGAGCTCCGGCCGCACACCGGCCTCGGGGAGAGCGATCGGGCTCGTGCGCGGAGAACCCCGAAGGCCGCCGTCTCGGCCAGGGGAGAGGAAAACGCAAGGTCCTTGGCTTCCAGTTTCCAGGCGCCCTGAGACGGGGCACTCCCTGTAAGGCTCCCTCCGGGGCGCATCCAGGCGGCCTGGGCAGAGCTGAGCTCCCGGCGGAGGCTATTCTGGGCTCTGCGTCCACCCGGCCCCCAACACCGCCCCCTGGGCTTCCCTGGGGTTGTGGGTCCCCCTGGGCTTGTGGGTCCCCCTGGGCTTGTGGGTCTCCGGAGGAGGAACAGGGCTCCCTGGCTCTCGGAGCCCTCAATCCTTTCTGACCCCTCGTGGGTTAGGACCCAGAGGGCTTTTCTCAGTGGGGTGCGGTCTGGGTTGGCCGCATCCTCAGGGCTTTCGGGAGGAGGTCACCTGACCCCAAGGCAGCCCGGGCGAGAGGAGCCTCATCCACACAGTGCGGCCCGCACCGGGGCCCGCAGCCTCACCGTCTGGGCCTCCGGGGGCGGAGGCTGGCGCGGCCCCAGCAGCGCTCCCCGCAGCGGGCTCCTCTGCCGCGGGCGCAGCTCCTCCGCCGCCGCGTCTCCGCAGAAGCCAAGTCCTGGGCGCCGGGGAGACTCCCGTGCCAGCCCCTTGGCTGAGCCGGAGCCGCGGGGACTCGCCGGAGGCGGCTCGAAGGGACCCTAACGGGCCGCGCTCTCTCCGCAGCGCTGCCCTCTGCTGGGCAGGCCCGGAGGCCGCGCCTTCCGCCCGGTGCTCCCTCCCAGGACCAGCCTCCGTGGCTCTGGGCCCGGGTCTAAAAGCCGGAGGCTGCCCACGTCCTAGCCTCCGCCCGATGGCCCCGGGGTGTCGGAGGTCCCTGGCCAGAGCCCAGCGTGCAGAGGCCGGGGGTCCGGGCCGCGGGGGGTGTGAGGATGGCTCAGTACAGGCCGTGGTGGAGGGGCTCCTTGCTAAGGGGCCTGAGGACAACCGCTCGCTCCCGGGGGAAGGCCTGTCCTCCCCACCCGTTTCCGCCCCGCGGAGGAGGCTTCCGAGCCGGCTTCCTCCAGCGAACCGATCCCGTTATCGGAATCTGAAATCCTGCCGCGGGGAAAGGGGGGAGCGTTGCAGGTTGGGGGAGGCGTTTCCATGCCTTCCCCCTGGTCTGGCACTGAGTTGGGGGCCAGAAGCGAACCCCAGGAGTCAGCAGCGCCTGTGGGAAGCCGTGGCCTGCTCGCCTTGGCTGTGGGCTCAGCAACTGCGACACGGAGAGGCCGAGAGAGAGAGGCTGCTGCCGGCGCTCAGGTGCCTTGAGCCTCGGAGCAGAGAGCCTCGTGGCGGGGCGGGCGGGGGCAGAGGAGCAGGGAGGAAGGGGAGAAGATGGAGGATGGAGGAGAAAGAGAGGGGGAAGGCAGGAAGGGAGGAGTGCAGGGGTGCATCGGGTTTCCCAAGATCTGGACTGAGCGAAGCAGCCAGGAGGCCTGAGTATGGAGCCCAGTGCACGGCCGGGCCGGGCCAGGGAGGGCTGCGAGCTCGGAGGACAGGCTCTGGGGCACCGCTGCTCCCGCCAGTGCGGTCCACGGCACCCTTTCCACCCGCCTGCCCTGTGCCCGCTGGAAAGCCTTTTGCAAGCAACCCCCTTGTCCGTCTGCCCGTCCGCACCCAGCCGGGCAAGGAGTCTCCCCCCCCCCCCCCCCCACATCCATGTCATCACGGCCCGGCCCGGACAGGACCACAGCGGCTCAGGCCGCCTCTTCCCCGGATGGTTCACCCCGACTGTGAGCGGCGGCAGAGCGATCGGAGCGCCCGTTTGAGGCGAAGCGCTCGAAGATCCATCAGCGCGGGGCCTGCAGGCTCTGGGGCAACTGCACAGCCCAGGACGGGATGCCCGGAGCCCCAGGTCCGCCGAGGAGCTGAGGACCTGTCCGGGCCCGGCCGATGGTGAGCCCGGCCGGCCGAGGCCAGCTCCCCTCCTGCCCAGCAGCCTCTGGGGTCCGAGTCTCTGAACTTGGCTGAGCCCCCTCCCCGGCTCCTCGCCGTCCTCTCGCAGCCTCCCTCCCCGCCCGGCTTCCCGAGGGGAGAGGAGGAGGAGGAAGAGGAGGCGGGGGAGGAAGGGCCGGGAGGGGCGGGAGGAGCGAATGGGGAGCCGCGGTGGCGAAGGCTCCTGAGCCGGCGGGTACGGCGAGTGTCCTCCGACGTCAGGGCGTCATTAATAACCAATTAGGAGGGTCACCGGCGTCTTATAAAGGCGCCGAGGGTTTGCCAAGACCAAGACCGACCGGGCCGAGTGCAGGAGGCGAGCGCACGTCCGAGAGCCCCGGCCGCCCTGGTCCTCCGCCGCCGCCCGCCTCCCGCACCCGCACCCGCTCCGCACCCCCGTCCCCGCCGCCCTCCACGCCGCCCCTCCATCTCCGCTGCTCCCCCTCCATCTCCGCTGCTCTCCCTCCATCTCCGCTGCTCTCCCTCCATCTCCCTGCCTCTCCGCCCGGCTCCCCGCGTCCCCCTTCCTCCCCGCCGTCCCCTCGCCGCCCTCCCGCACCTCCTCCCTCCCCGCTCCCCTGCCGCCGCCTCCGGCCCCGCGGCAGCTCCCCTCGCCCCTCCGCGCCCCTCTCGCCCGCGCATCTTCCCGTCTGCCCATCCGTCCGTGCCCGGCGCCGGCGCGCCCCGGGCCGCCCATGATGGGCTCCGTGCTCCCGGCGGAGGCCCTGGTGCTCAAGACGGGGCTGAAGGCGCCGGGGCTGGCGCTGGCCGAGGTCATCACCTCCGACATCCTGCACAGCTTCCTGTACGGCCGCTGGCGCAACGTGCTGGGCGAGCAGCTCTTCGAGGACAAGAGCCACCACGCCGGCCCCAGGACGGCCTTCACCGCCGAGGTCCTGGCGCAGTCCTTCTCGGGCGGTGAGTGCGCCGTCGGGCCGGCGGCCGGGCCCCTCCTCCGGGGGAAGGACCCTCCCCGGCGGGGCCCGGAGGCGGGGAAGCGGCGCGGGTCCGGGTGCCTCGGTTTCCCAGAAGCCGAACCCCGAGCCCGGCCCCGGCGGGGCGGGACGGGGCGGAGGACGGCTCCCCACCGCGCCGCTCGGAGAGGGACCGGGAGCGGACCGCGGCGCCCGGGCTGCGGAGCCGGCGGCCCCCCGCGCCTCTGCCCACCCCGCGCCCCTCGGAGCCGGCGGGCTCCCGGCGGTGAAAGCCTTACGAGGCGTGTAATAGCACTTGACTCGAGAAGAGGGGTTTTAAATTCATTTGGTTAACTTGGGCTTGACCCGCGAAAGTTCCCACTTAAACCGGGTGCTTTTTTTTTTTATCATTAAAAGGCGGCGGGGGCGGGGGCGGGCGCCTCGGAGGAGGGCAGAGAGAGAGGAGGAAAGTTCTTTTCTTCAGGATGTCTCAAGTTCCCCGGCTCATTCATCACCCGGCACCACCTCCCTCCCGGCGCTGGCGCCCGCTCCCCCGGCTCCGTTCCTCCTTAACTCGCCGTGCAGCCTAATTCCCCTCCATTCACGCCCCGTCAACCATCTAATCCCCCCGCTTTGTCCGGGGGATTCCTCGGCCCCTTTTAAACAAGTCCGCTCCGCGCGGAGCCGCGATTTACTGCTACAGCATTCTTCCCGGGCTAATGAATTTGGAATTAGCCATTTCTGGCGGATGGGGCCCGGTGAATGCGGCCGCGTTAACGGCGTGACAAATCGCCGCCGCCGCGCCCAGCCCGGTCCCCGCTCCCCGCCGGCTCCCCGCTCCCCGCTCCCCGCCACCGGCTCCGGCATTTTCCCAGGTCGCTTAGGGGGGCGTCTTGTCAGACACGGAGGCCGCCCTGTGCGCCTCCCATTCCCACAGCGGCTGCCAGGCCCGGCAGGGGGACCCCCCCAATTCCTCTCCCAGGGACGGCGGGGTGCCCCAGCTCTTCCAGGCCCGGACAGGCGACGACTTCAGGGCTCGCCCGGGTTCGGGAGCCGCCCTCCCCGGCGCCCCGGATTCTGGATGGATGCTGGGTGCGCCCTGCCCGGGTCACACGGGGAGCGATGCGCCCCGAGCGTTTCTCTGGAGCCGCCTTGGCCCCCTCGCAGGCCGAGATCTGTGCCCAGCGCTGCCAGCCCGTCCCGGGGAAGGGCCTCCCGCACCCGCAGGAGTCGGAGCTCCTGACCGCACCCCGGTGCGCCGAAGCGCAGTGAGCTCGCAGCGCAGGGAGCTCCGCGGGGTGACGAGGCGGGGGTGGGGGTGTCCGGGGCGGAAGAACACAAACCCGGACTTGGGCGAACAGTGCCGCTTGGTTGGCTCCTCCGGGGAGCTGGCCTTCGTTAGCCCACGAGTGGGACCACACTTTCCTGGGGTGCGGGCAGGGGGAAAGATGGGTGCTCTGAGACTTCGCGAAGAGACTAAATAGAACAACAACACACGCACACACAAAAATAAGACAAAACTAGAAATAAGGCCCAAAGCACCGCTTCCAAGGGCGCGGAGGGTGCCAGGCTTGCAACATGCGCGCGGAGCCTCCCCGCACCGCTCTGTTCCCTCCCCATCCCTGTCCGCGCACCCGGGGAGTGGCCCGGCGGCCGGGGCGGGCAGGGGCGAGCGGGAAGGGCCCCGGGCGCTGAGACCCTGTCCCTGTCCCCTGTCCGCCCCGCGGCCACAGAGGTGCAGAAGCTGTCCAGCCTGGTGCTGCCGGCCGAGGTGATCATCGCGCAGAGCTCCATCCCCGGCGAGGGCCTCGGCATCTTCTCCAAGACCTGGATCAAGGCCGGCACCGAGATGGGCCCCTTCACCGGCCGCGTCATCGCCCCCGAGCACGTCGACATCTGCAAGAACAACAACCTCATGTGGGAGGTAAGGGGGGAGTGGGTAAGGGGGGAAGGGAGAAGCGCGGGTGGGGGGTGAGGGGGAGGGGAAGGCAGGGGAGGGGGCGGAATCTTCAGCCGCCCAGCAGCTGCTTCTGCCCTGGTTGGGAGCTGTAGCCCTGCGGCTCCTCAAGGCAGGACCCTATGCCGCTGGATCCCCCAACGCGCCCAGTAAGCTTCCCCATCTCCCCCCACCTCCAAGTCCGACCCTCTTTCCTCTGGCCACATCTATGGAGCATGTCTGCTGTGGGCTCACTTCACAGAAGAGGCACTGAGACCCGGCTTGCCCAGGGCCCATGCAGACTGGGAGCCTTCTCCTGCCACCTGCATTTCCCCCCACCCCTCCTCACCTCCCTCCTCGCTCCCCTGGAGGCACAAGCCGGGCTTACTTTCTCTCCTCGCTGCTGGGTCAGGAAGTTGGGGTCCAGATTGAGGTCCCTGGCAGCTCTCCCCAGGCCAGGTGCCACCGGTGAGCCAGCCTCCCCGCTCTGGGCTCCCGCGTGCCCTCTGGGGTGTGGCCAGCGCCTTCCGCTGCTTTGAGGAGCCCTCTCCATCCCCCGCGGGTGCTTCTTTGTTTCACCCGCGACCCGGGAGACCCCTTTCTAACGGGGATGGGGAGGACGTGGCAGCCAGAAGGCGCCTGTGGCCCCTAGAGGTGGACTCCCCACTGGCCACTCCTGGCCAGCTGGCCTCAGGCAAGTCACGGTGCCCCTCGGAGCCTCTCTTTTCTCAGCGGAAAACTGAGATGGGAAGAGCCATCCACTTCCTGGGGCCGCTGTGGGGCGGGGAGAGAGAGCGCCTGGCCTGGCGCCCCGGCTGGACACAGGTGGCACACCTGCCAGCGCGCTGCCTCACCTGGTCCCCACGCCCCTGTGCCAGGTGTTCAATGAGGATGGCACGGTGCGCTACTTCATCGACGCCAGCCAGGAGGACCACCGCAGCTGGATGACCTACATCAAGTGCGCACGGAACGAGCAGGAGCAGAACCTGGAGGTGGTCCAGATCGGCACCAGCATCTTCTACAAGGCCATCGAGGTGAGCGCATGCTGCCGCGGAGGGAGCCGGGGAGCAGCTGGGTGCAGGTGTGGGCTTGGGCAGCCGTGCTTGAAGTCTGCTCGGGCGTGGAGGGGCGCTGACAGCAGCCCAGCGGCCCCGCCCAGGCTGTAGGGCTGAGGCTTCTGCACCCCGGTCTCCAGGAGTATGACCCCCAGGCACGCTTTCTGCCACAGAGCGGGAAGGACGGGACTTTGGATGTGATGCCGGTGGGAATGTCACGAGCACCTCAGCAGGGAGGTCCCCGGGCAGCTGCTGAGGGTGTCCTGGGGTTCAGAAACCATAACAGCACCGAGAGCCAGGGCGAGCGTGCATGCGGGCGGAGGAGGGGCTGTGTCTGCAGCGGCTTAGCGGTGTGTTGCCCCTCATTCTGCGCTGTGCGTGGGACTCTGATGACATGGGGGTCACCATCTAGTCTCAGCCGTCACATACCAGTCTCTCCGGGTGTCAGCCTTCTCCTGGTGGCAGTGCCGCATTATCCCGCCTAATCCTCACGGATTTAACCCACACGAGGGAGGCTGTGGCTGCTGCAGTTTACAGACACGGGGACTGGATCGCAGTGGGCGGCAGGCAGACGCAGGAGCTCTCACAGGGCATCGGGCTTCATGCCTGCGGTGGTGGAGCTTCTCTCTCAGAGGAGAGAGAAAGGGGGAGCAGCAGGCAGATAATTATCACTTCCCATGGTCCTGTGGGGGGCGGGGGGGTGGGGAGCTAAGCCGGCCCAGGGCATGAGAGTTCAAGAAGATGGGAGAAAGAGATGCTTGGGCAGCTGCAGACTGTTCGGGGAGGAGCTGATGGAGAGCTGAGTGGTGGTGGCCAAGGACGGCCACCCTGCCGGAACCTTCCTGGGCTGTGTCCCTGGGCAGGAAATTCTCTCAGCATCTGGCCCAGGACAGCCTGGTGCCTGGCCTCCCAGCGGCGCAGGTGGCAGGTTGTTGGGAGCGCTGTTCAAGGGTGATGAGGTTGTTTGCCCCCCACTTTTCCGGCCCTCCTGCTTCTGCTTGCAGGTGGGGAGAGGGACAGTGCCCCTTGGGTGGGGCTGGGCTTGGCTGAGCCCCCCAGAGTCCAGGAGTGACTTCTTATTAGCCTATGCTCCCTTTCCTCTCCCCCTCTCCCAACGACTCAGATCCCTAAGTTCTTCCAAGGCCCAAGGGGCATTGGGGCCTAGAAGCTTCTGGAATTGAGGTCTGGTTGTCCCTGAATAGCCAGGCCTCAGGGAATGACCAGAATGGATTTGCCCGGTGCGGCTGGGAGTGGGCCCCAGCTGGGAGGTGTGGGGAGCCCTGGGAGGACAGGAGGTGGATGACTGGAAGGTGAGCAATCCTACCCGGGCCCGGGGAGGTGGGGCAGGGGAGGCAGTGTGACGGAGGACCCAGGTGGCCAGGCCCAGGACAGAGGAGGTTCTTGTGACCATCCAGGGGGCTAACACCCTGAGAGAGTAGACCTCCTGGAATCAGCCTCAGGGGTGGCCGAACCCCACTTCTGATAGAGAGCACCCTTCCAGATCCTCTCCCCTCTCCCCCTCACACACGCACCCTCACATGTGTACCCGGCTACCCAGCCACCCAGACTCAGATGCGCCTGGGGACCCACACCCACACCATCCTCCCCCCCCCCCCCCCCCCGCATAGGCCCGCACAGGCACCCAGGAGGCCGACGGGGCGCCTGGGGTGGCTCTGGCAGAGGGCAGAAGTGGGGGCTGGTCTCAGCTCGCTGTGCCCCATCTCCTCCTGCTGGCCGGAAGCTGCCCGGAGCCAGGACATGTTAATAGACATTTATTCAGGGTCAGAACTCTGCAAGGAGGGGCCTGGGTGTATGAGCATTTGAAAAAGCCACCCACATTCGATCAGGAGTGTAAGCTGATAAGAGAAGATCAGGGAGAAGTCCCATCATTTATGATATCAGTAGCTGGATAGCATGCTTGGCCAGGAACGCTCTAACTTCTGCAAAGACGGACCTAGTTAAAGGAGAGGCAAAGAAACAGAGAACATCACCCATGTTATTTTTATTAGGTTTGACTTTTTATGAGAGAGAGAGAGAGAGAGAGAGAGCGAGAGAGAGCGCGCTTAATTTATTGTTCCACTTACTTATGAATTCATTGGTTGATTCTTGTGTGTGCCCTGACTGGGGATCGAACCCAAAACCTTAGCGTATCAGGACAGACGCTCCAACGGAGCACCCCAGCCAGGGCTTCCTCATCTTATCTTGACTGCGTGAAGCTGGGCACACTTTTCCGTGGGGACAGTCTCCTCAGATTGTGTTGTAATGTCCGATTCCACCCACCAGACCATGTGAGCATGTAGGTGTGTGTGGCCATCGTGCTGCGGGTCCGAGGCCTCAGCTCACCGGACACAGTGTGCCCAGACCTCTCCCAGACGCCCCTGGGGGAGCCGGCTCTTTGTTCTGGGCCCGCGTGCAAGTTACCCCAGGAGACAGGCCCCTGCGTGATCGGCTTCCTCCATCTTCCTGTCACTCAGGACTATTTATATTTCCTAACCGTAACCCATTACGTGCCAAAGACAAATAAATAAGAAGGAAGGTCTTTATCCAATAAGTGGGATATACTGCTGCCGCTCCACAGTTTTCAGCCGTCCGCACGGACACCAGGGTGGGCGTGTCCAGGCCAGCCGGCCCATGGAGAGCCGAGAGCGAGAGTGCCCAGGCCTTTCGGCATCTGGCCTATCTCCTGGCATGTCATCCTTGCACATGGCAACCAGGAAGAATTTCCTATAACCTCAGGGCCTACAGCGACACTTCTAGAAAGTTCCCAGCCCATGGCAAGTGGGAGCTCAGTGTTGAATGAATACTTCTTTCTGTAGGTGAAGGGGGCTGAGCTGAAAGGGGACACACATGGACCCAGTTTTCCCAGGAAAACACCCACCTCATCCTCAGGAAGCAAGGCCTTTGACTCCAAAACACAGCACAAGGAGAGGACGTGGGAATAAGAGACAGCGGGGGGTGGGGGTGGGGGTGGTGGTGGTGGTGGTGGTGGTGGTGGTGGTGTGTGTGTGTGTTTTGGATTCGGAAATGAGGGAGAGAATTCCCAGTCTTTCCCCGCCCGTTTTCTGACAAGTTCCTGGCCCTGAAACGTGGGCTTGTCTTTTGCTACTTTCCTTCTCATCTCAGGCAGCTGAGCTTTCCCCCTGGAGTGCATGGCCCCCCTCTCCTTCCTTTGGCCCCCGGGGGGGGGGTACGCTCGGTTTCCCTCCGACCTTGTTCACCGGTGGGTGCAGGTAAGGTGCTCTGAGTACTAATGAGCAGCATCATTGACACTGTGAGCCTTTACCGCGTGCCGGCGCCTCGCTCAGGCTTAGCAGCTTTTTTAGAAAAAGAATCCACCCGTGAGGTGCTCTCCCCCTTTTAATGCCGGTGTAAGTGGGGTTCCGGGAGACTGCGGGAGGCTGCTGGGCTGTGATTGGAGCCCAGGCCTGTCGGACCCCAGAGCCGAGGCTTCGGCCACCACGGGGCCTCCCTGGCCACTATCTATTTGCTGGAGCTCTATTAATTGGCGTGTCAGGACATCTGTGGCACAATGGAAATTGATATCCGCCCAGATGACACCGAGATCCTTCTAGACCCGGGCTTCCGCGCCGCCTGGGGCAGGGAGGGCAGCGGAGCCCCAGGGAGCATGTTCAATAGTGCGGCAGGAATTTGTACTAGGAAAACAAACCCCAAGCCCCGTCATTTCAGTTTATAAAAATTCAGAACGGAAACAGGGCGGGACAAACCTTGTGGGCTGGTGGAGGAGGGTAGGAAGCATGAGCTGAGAGATGGTGCCATTTGTCCACAGAAGTCTCAGGCACTGATATCCCGCCCTCCCCTCCCGTCCGGGTGATGGTCTTTGCTCTCAGGCCGGCAGCTGGCGGGAGCTCGGGGCCTCCAGACAATGGGACCAGGATCTCAGGAGAGGGCTGCCTGGAGCAGGCAGAGACCAGACGTGCAGACCAGGGCGGCTGCCGGCTTCCAGGGCTCAGTTCCCGGGTCTGTGCTGGCCAGGCTGCCTTCACCTCCCTGTGGGGCGCAGAGGGCCGGTGGCTGCTTGCTGTCTGGGGCTGTGCGTCATTCTCAATTCCAGTAGGTTCTTCTTAACAGATTCTCTTTCTTAAAAAAAAAAAAAATATATATATATATATATATATATATATATATATATATATATATATTTTTTTTTTTTGTATAAAAATAGAATGAGAGCAGCTCATTTTTTAAAAGATCAGATGCGTCATGTGGAAAATGGAAATCACTCTGCCCATCACGCTGCTCCCCAGGAACCGAAATCAGCGTTTGTTAATTGTCTCAAAATGACAGGCCCCTCGCTACCAGAAACCCGCAGTGACTGGCATCCGGAGGAGAGGCTGGCTGCTCCTTCTCCGCCCTGTTAGGTGTTTGCACAGTTCTGTCCATGGGTCCGCACCACTGTTTTAACCTTATAATTAATTTCAGTAAAACTACTTGGAGTGCATTGTAAAGATTGATTTTAGAGAAAGGGGGAAACGTCGATCCTGTATGGCTCACGGGAAGACTCATCCAGCTGCAACCAACTGAGCCACACCAGCCAGGGCCCATTTAAAAAATATATATGTATAGTGCCCTGGCCGGTTTTGCTCAGTGGATGGAGTGTCAGCCTGCAGACTGAGGGGTCTCGGGTTCGATTCCGGCCAGGGGCATGTACCTTGGTTGCAAGCACATCCCCAGTAGGGGGTGTGCAGGAGGCGGCTGATCAATGTTTCTAGCTCTCTTTCCCTCTCCCTCTCTGTAAAAAAAAATCAATAAAATATATTAAAAAATAATAAAAATATAAAAATAAAAAAATATATATTTTATTCATTTTTTACAGAGAGGAAGGGAGAGAGATAAGAGAGTTAGAAACATTGATCAGCTGCCTCCTGCACACCTCGCACTGGGGATGTGCCCGCAACCAAGGTACATGCCCTTGACCGGAATCGAACCCGGGACCCTTCAGTACTCAGGCCGACACTCTATCCACGGAGCCATACCGGTCAGGGCAGGGCCCATTTTTATCCATGTGAAAAACGTTAGTACATAAATGCCTCACCGTTGTATTGAAACAGTTAACATTGAAGCTCTGGAATAATAATTTTCAAGTTTTGTGCAGTCTCAGAGCTCTTGGCTCCGCAGTCATCACCCCCTTTTCGCTGTTAGGTTTAATTAATAATCCTTACTGTGAATGAAGAGGAAAAGGCCGGCTGAGTGAGCCTGGAGGTGGAGCTGCAGGGTGACATCCCGGGGGAGGGAGGGGGGGGGGTTGCTGAGCCTCTCACCCCTTCTCTGCAGGAAGCAGTGGGGGCCCAGCCTGTGGTCCTGTCAGACGGTGAAGGCAAAGCCACGGCCACGCAGGGCTTTACCGGCGCCCGGTGCCCCGCTGCCAGCTCTGCGGCGGCGCCTGCGGGACTCCCACGCGCCTGAGATCCCTGCCAGCTTCTCTGGAGGCTGGCGAGCTCGGGAGTGGGGGTGCGGGGTGCGGGGTGGGGGTGGGGGTCACAGCAAGCTCTCCTGGGTATCGATCGCGTAAAGAGCTTTGTGTGCCTGGCTCCTCCGCACCCCGACAAGCACCCAGTTATGGCGGAGGAAACCGAGGCCCAGAGACTTGCCCAAAGTCACATGCTCAGCAGCGGGGGAGCCCGAGGGGACCCCAACATGACTGAGCTGGGAGCCTGAAGGAAGAGGCAGGCCAGGCTGTCTGACGGGGGCTGGTCGCTGTACAAAATCCACGCTGGATACAGGTCAGTCCATCTGAGAGTTGCAGCCAGGCGTTGGGGCAATATTGCAGCTGACGTACAACCAGAGACCAGACGTTGGGGGGCCTCAGAGACCCCAGTTCCTGCATTTGAGGCAAAGGGGCTTCTGCAAGGTCACCCAGGGCCCTCAAAACAAAGGTCCCATGTGCGCAGTCTCGTGGGGAGTGGCTTCCCTCACAGTGAGTTTATTTGGAATATTTTAGTTCCTTCCTCCGGTTTTCCAAGGGCTTACAAAGCCCCTCTCTTCGCCACCCCTTTTCCAGCGGGGCCTCTAGGTCTGGCCTGCTGGCCTCCTGGACAGTGGCCACGGCTGTGAATGGCCAGAGAGGCCTCCAGAACTTTCGCTGTGGTTCCTGCTTTCTGTGAGGCCCCACCTACTTGTCGGTGGGTTCAGACTGCACTTGGTTCTTCCATATTCCGCACCCCCCTCCCGCCTGTTCTCAGCGCTCACTTTCCCCCAGGCCCGAGGCCATGTGCTCTGGGCCCGGGGCTGGCTGAGAAGGGCACATGACCCCTGGCTGCGTCTTTGGAGGGGGGGGTCTGCTCGCACCCGCACTTCCTTCTCCCACCTGTTGCTCCCCGAGTCCCTCTGCTTCCGGGAACAGGCTGGCTGTGCTGCCTGAGAGTCTTCCGGCCTCCGACCAGAGGAAGGTGTGCGGGACAGCAGGCTCACAGTATGATGGGGACCCGCGGACCAGAACCGCATGGAAGGGCCTGCACGGCTGACATCAGACACCCCTAAATGGAATCCATCAGATCTAAAAGGCCAGGGCCCTGGCTGGTGTGGCTCAGTTGGCTGAGTGTTGTACTGTGACCAGAAGGTCAAGGGTTCGATTCCCGGTCAGGACACATGCCCAGGTTGCAGGCTTGATCCCTGGCTGGAGAGCATGTGGGAGGCAACCAATATCATTTCTCTTCCTCCTTTCCTTTCGCTATAAAAAAATTTCAATAAAAACATTTTTTTTTAAAATTTAAAAAAAGATGACCTACCAGGAAAACAAACCAGCTGTTGCCTGGGGTGTCCATCTTTCTCTGGAGAGATCAGAGGGATCCCGGGGTGAGTGCAGGCTCAGGAGGGTGATGGACCGTCCCCTCTCTCATTTGCGCCCGACGGCTTCCCGCTTGGCAGGGGGCTGGGGGCCCCTTGAGATGCGCCGGAGCATGGCGTATGGTCTGCTCCACTCAGGAGCTGGCTGCCCCACAGCTCCCTGGATGAGCACTGTGAGTCCTCCTCCTGGCGGCCACTCCCCGGGCAGGTGCTCCCCGGGAGCAGAGAGCCTGTGCTCTCTCTGGCGCTGAATGCCAAGGCCAGGACACGGCCAGGGGAGTTCGTGTAAGGCTGCGTGGCCCAGTGCCTCCCCCGGAGGCAGGAACCGGGAGGTGCTTTGGTGCCCTGGTGCCCGGAGCCATACGGAGCCTGTGATGGGGGAGGAGCCTGTGGTGTGCTGCTGCCTTGGGGTGTTTGGCTGAGAGCTGTCTCCAGAGGATAGCGTTATCGGGCAGGGGTACCCGCAACACAGGCTCCTTGGGAACATCCAGCTCTGCCCTCAGACTTGAGGGCTGGCTGACTGTTCCCCTCACCCCCACGTAAGAAATGGAGTCTTCTAACTTGGGGTGCCTGTCACGTCTGCTGCTGTTCTGTTGCCATCCGCTTGGGGGCACTGGGAGTCTGGGAGGCAGCGCGTTCCCAGCAGATGGCGGGGCGCCCGGGCAGGAAGAGGGAGCAGAGCACCCAGGGTCTGTGTGGTGCTGCTGGTGGGCATGGCTTGTGGAGCGGGGCCACTGGAGCGCATCCCCATGACAGGTGCCTCCTGGCTGTGAGGCAGTGTGCAGAGCCCTCTCTCTCTCTCACACATGCACACGCACACGCACACGCCACCGCCTCCCTGACCGCCTCTGGCCTCCTCCTCACAGATGATCCCTCCGGACCAGGAGCTGCTGGTGTGGTACGGGAACTCGCACAACACCTTCCTCGGGATCCCCGGGGTGCCCGGGCTGGAGGAGGAGCAGAAAAAGAACAAGCACGGTAGGTCTGCTCCACCAGGCCGCCATGACGGGACCCCGGAGCCGTGTGTGTGTGGTGTGTGTGTGTGCGTGTGTGCGCGCGTGTGTGTGTGTGTGTGGTGTGTGGTGTGTGTGTGTGGTGTGTGTGTGGTGTGTGTGTGGTGTGTGGTGTGTGTGGTGTGTGTGGTGTGTGTGTGGTGTGTGTGTGGTGTGTGTGTGTGTGTGGTGTGTGTGCGTGTGGTGTGTGTGAGTGTGGTGTGTGTGGTGTGTGTGTGGTGTGTGTGTGGTGTGTGTGGTGTGTGTGTGGTGTGTGTGTGGTGTGTGTGTGTGTGTGTGTGTGTGTGTGTGGTGTGTGTGTGTGTGGTGTGTGGTGTGTGTGTGGTGTGTGTGTGGTGTGTGGTGTGTGTGTGTGTGTGTGTGTGTGGTGTGTGTGTGTGTGTGGTGTGTGTGGTGTGTGTGGTGTGTGTGGTGTGTGTGTGGTGTGTGTGTGGTGTGTGTGTGGTGTGTGTGTGGTGTGTGTGTGGTGTGTGTGTGTGTGTGTGGTGTGGTGTGTGTGTGGTGTGTGTGGTGTGTGTGGTGTGTGTGGTGTGTGTGTGGTGTGTGTGTGGTGTGTGTGTGGTGTGTGTGTGGTGTGTGTGTGTGTGTGGTGTGTGTGCGTGTGTGTGGTGTGTGTGGTGTGTGTGTGTGTGGTGTGTGTGCGTGTGTGTGCGTGCGTGTGCCCGCGCGTGTGTGTGATGTGTGTGTGTGTGTGGTGTGTGTGGTGTGTGTGTGTGGTGTGTGTGTGTGTGGTGTGTGTGTGTGGTGTGTGTGTGGTGTGTGTGCGTGTGTGTGCCCGCGCGTATGTGTGTGGTGTGTGTGTGTGTGTGGTGTGTGTGGTGTGTGTGTGTGTGTGGTGTGTGTGTGTGTGGTGTGTGTGTGTGTGTGTGGTGTGGTGGGGAGGCACCTGGCTCAGCCTCCAGCACCACTGAGCACAGCGGACCTACTGGGTGGAGGAGGCCGATGCCCCCGGAGCCGCCCCCTTGGCCCAGGCATGGTGAGAGGCGTCTGCTTTCTGGCCGGAACAGAGCGGGGGGGGGGGGGTCCCCAGAGGCAGCTGGCTTGGCAGGAGGAGCGAGGGGCCAGGCTTCTGTGCCATCCTGGGAATGGCTCTGTGACTCAGTTTCCCCATCTTTAGAGGAAGGGGGTTGGGTAAGGTGATCGCTAAGCTCCCTCCGGGCCCTGAGGCTCTGTGCCTTTCCCTGCTGTGCCACTGATGCCCAGCCTGGCACTGCGTGGTGCTCAGGGTGAACCTGTGGGAAGGCGGTGAGCAGTTGCCTCGTGTGTTGGAGGGCCGCTGAGCTATTCTGTTTTGGGCTAAACGTTTATCCCCTTGGTCCTCAGGAAATCCTTGTGAGCTCTGATGCCCCTTATTTGAGGCTCCTGAACGCTGCTCACTGAGCCTTCCCCTGCAGCTGACAGTCACTCCTGTAGTCCTCAGAGCGCTCAGGGCGGCGCTGCTGGTATTGCTCTGAGGGGGAAAGTGAGCGCAGTTCCTGGCCCACAGGAGGCAGGAAACGTTTGTGGGGACAATAAATGAACGGAGTTTTTCTTAGGGGAGGTTAGGGGTTATAATAGTTACTTCCACTTATGGAAGGCTACCATGGGCAGGCACTTTGCACACCTGGGGGCAGGCAGGTAAGTGCTCAGCACAGAGTAGCCTTCAGCTTTTGGTGATTACAGATGGGAAAGTTGAGGTTTGGTGGGGCCGAGTCACTAAGTCTCCGAGTCTCACAGTGTGGCCTGGAGCCCAGCTCCTGCCTGACCCCAAGCCAGGCCCCTCGCTCCCCTTCCCAGCCCCCCTGCCCGGGCTCCCCATCAGCTGCCCGAGAACCATCCCATTGGAGGTGGGCGATCCCGGGAGCACCGCGCGCGTGGGGAGCGGGGGTGCTGGGCGCTGGCCGCGGGTTCTAACGAGGCCTCTCTCTATGCCGCTGTCTCTCCCCCCTCTCCCCGCGGCCAGAGGATTTCCACCCCGCGGACTCGGCGGGCCCCGCGGGCCGCATGCGCTGCGTCATCTGCCACCGCGGCTTCAACTCGCGCAGCAACCTGCGCTCGCACATGCGCATCCACACGCTGGACAAGCCGTTCGTGTGCCGCTTCTGCAACCGCCGCTTCAGCCAGTCGTCCACGCTGCGCAACCACGTGCGCCTGCACACGGGCGAGCGGCCCTACAAGTGCCAGGTGTGCCAGAGCGCCTACTCGCAGCTGGCCGGCCTGCGCGCCCACCAGAAGAGCGCGCGCCACCGGCCGCCCGGCGCCGCGCCCGCGCCCGCCCTGCCCGCGCCCGCGCCCGCGCCCGCGCTCCCGCTCCCGCACCCGCACCCGCCCGCGCTCGCCGCCGCCGCCGCGCACCACCTGCCGGCCATGGTGCTGTGAGCGCCGCCCGCCCCCCGCCCGCCCCTCCGCCGGGCCCGCGGGGCCGCTGCGCTCCCGCCGGGAGCCCCGGGCTCGCCTGTCGCCCGCTGTGCGGATGGGGACGCCGGGGTGAGGTTTTCTCCCCCGGGACCAGCCAGGGGCTGCAGCCGCCAAGCCCGGTCCAACTCCCCAGCCTCCCTCCTCCGATCGAGCCGCGCGTCCGAGCCTGATCCCCCCCTCGTGGGCGGCGGGAGAAGGGACTGCGAGTCCCCGAGGCCCCCAGAGGGGAAGGGACCCCGACCTCCGCGCCCAGAGCTGCGTGCTGGCAGGGGAGGAGGGCGGCCTCCCCGCCCGGCCTGGCCCGGCGTCCGCCCCTCCTCTCCCCCCTGCCTCTGGGGACTGCTGTCCTGCAGGGTCCGCAGGCACCGGAGAGGATGGCCGCCCGAGGAGGCCCGCAGAGGCCCGCACTGCCCTTGAGGGGAGCGGCGGGGGGGAATGGGGTCACTCTTAGGCCACCTTCCTCCTCCAGCCCCCACGCGGCTCCCGGAGGAGAGTGAGGCAAGCGGAAAGCCACTGTGGGACCCGGGAAAGACTCGGCCCCCCTGGGCCTCAGTTTCCCCTTCCTCTATTTATAAAATGAGAGAATTGGACCGAGGGCCCCCACCCCTCCCCTTCAGCCCTGGCATCATGGTTGGGAAAGGGAAGCTTTCCTGTCCGTCCTCGCCACACTCCAGAGAGAGGAGGGCAGGCTGGCTGGCCATGCGGAATGGGGGTGTGTGTGTATGGGGGGGTCCACCCTGCCGCCCACACACTCCCTGCTCTTTCCCGTTTCCCCCCAGCTCGGCCCTGAGCGCCCTCTGGTGTCATCTCTCCCACCCTCCAGGCATTTCCCGGTGTTTCCGTAGGGCGTTTTGTAAGATACAGAAACTATAATAATATTAATGAAAAGTATAAAATGTATAGAGTTTTCAAGAAACTGTGTTCTACTTCCAGAAAATGGTCACTTTAACGTTGTAAATACTTACCTGAAATGCTATTTACAAAACTGTGGTATATATTATTTGATTGTATATGTATAACTGTAAATACATTTGTACCTCTCTTGTATTCTAAAATAAAAATTACTTGGAGCATTTATCACTTAGCACCTGAACGGGCTGGCACTTTTGTCTACATGAAGAGGGAATATGGTAAGTGCCTGAAAGCTGGCCAGGGGATGGAAGGAGCTGTCCATTGTGCCACCTGTAAGGAAAAATCTGCTGCAAATGGGGTGTCGGCTCGCAAAGAGATGGCACAGTGCAAAGCCACCCGCCTCCAGATTGATTCCACGACACCTGGGCTGACTCCTACTTTCCAGTTGACTCAAATATAGGTCCCATTTAATCACTTCCCCAAAATTTTTACTTACTTTTTTTTTCTATTTTCATGGATAACTTGAAGGAATTCAAGCAGCCAGGAGAGGGGGTGGGGGTAAGATGGGCACCATGTGCCCTCCCGATGCATAGAGTTCCCAAGCGCTCAGATACCCACTTCGGACTTCCTTGAGGAGGACCCAGGAGCAGGGGCCATCAGTGCAGGGCCAGGCCCTGGCTCCTCCCTCCAGGGCAGGTGTGACCGGGCAGTGTGCGTTCACACCTGTGTTCCAGTACCTGCCAGCCATGAGGGTGTCACCCTCTCAGGCTACTGGCGTCCTCCTTTAGCCATATGCGTGTGCACATATACACACACACCTGCAGACGCTGAATGCACACTTGCTCACACAGGCCACTCCCCACTTTGGAGCTGCAGGTGTGTACTCCCCAAACCCCCCACACTTTGGAGGACTGCACCCTAGCAGGTGGAGGCATGGGCAGAAATGTACATTTAGGGTGCTCATTTGCATATCCCCTCTGGGGTTTCCTTCCAGGGGGGCCAGTGGGGGAAGGCACCCTTGGTGCTTCTGCTCCAGCTCCCATCACAAACCTTGCCTTTGCTTTGATACCTCACCACTAGGTTTCTGATGTCTCTGGTGGCCCCTGGCATTACCATCCTCCCACTGCAGCCCCCACCCAGGCATCTAACCAAAGCTTTCTGTCCCGAAACCCCATTCCCTGGATGCAGATGGGTGAGGTAGCCTGCGGTACTCCCCTGGTCCCTCTAAAGATCACAGGGAGCTACCTCCCAGTCTCCAGAACCCACCTGGTGGCAGGAGGCTGTAATTGCAGACTAAATGCATCTGCTAAGTCAGCTGCAGAGATGTCCCCCTGCTGGAGGTACAAGGGTGAGCGGGCAGGGATCTGATCATGAAAAATTTGCGATACTCACTCACAATTCCCTAGAATCTGGAGGCAGTGGGGTCAATCAGGAGGCGGAGGAGCGAGGAGAACTTATGGAAAGGTTCATGAATCCAAACAGCGGCTATGAGAGACCCCAGAGCACCCCTCACTCCTTAAGCCAATGAGGACACAGTGAAAAGACAGCTCTGTGAACCAGGAAGCGAACCCTCACCGGACACCAAACCTGCCAATGTCTTGATCTTGGACTTCTCAAACTCCCAAACTGTCAGAAGTAAATTTCTGTTGTTTATAAGCCACTGGGCCCAGGGTATTTTGATAATAGCCCCAAAACAGACTACACAGAATCCATCATTCTATCGTGACAGGCTCTGTAAATGTGAGTGCTGCGAGAACGGAGGGATTAAGGTTATGTCTATCCCATCGAGGATGAAACTGAATAATGTGAAGACTGTACCTCTTCCTTAGTCAACTGAAACTCCCAGGCCCACCTCCCTAGCGGGCTCAAAGGACACTACCGCCCTCTTATGGTCGAGACTGGCCTTAACAGATGGCCCTTTCTCACACTTGCAGTCACGAGCTTTGCTTAGGTGAAAGAGAGGCTGTCTTTTTGGAGATTTAGCAAACCATCAGTCTATGGGTCTTCAGGAGGCAGCAAGCCGGATTTTGTGAGCACAGTGTACAGGACTGATGCAACTCGTTTCATTCAATCCTCTTGAGGGCCCATGTGCATGAAGAACGGTCCTCTCCGGTTCCCTGGGGTTTATTGTGAACGCTATAAACCACGCAGGGCCAGGGCGAGGGGAAGGGTGGGGAGAAGGGAGGTGGAAGTGCTCCTGTCAAACAGGAAGTGAAGACAGAGTCACAGCACATCTGTCCCTCCGCCAGAGTCCTCAGAACACAGAGAGCACTTCGTTCACGTTTGAGGAAAGATAAGCCAAGAGCTTTGTATCTTGGGCCCGCTTGCCTACCAGATGTACCTGCCTTGCAAGGGTTGAATGTTTTCTCAGTTTCTTGTTTTCACAAAAGAAGTGTTAGAGTAAACCAGCTCCTTCCAAAGTCGCTATGAAAGAACGGAAGCAGCACCCAGAGCTCCGTGTGGGGGTGCAGATGACGGTGGGTGCTGAGCGGAATACTGGCGGCACTAAGGAGCAGCAAGAAAGGGGGCTCTTCTTTCAGTCTGAAAAAGAGAGTTTTCCTCCTGCGCTCATTCACACAATGGAAACCCAGGGGCCATTTCTCAACGACCTCTGACCCTGGTAAACCATCAATTGGACGATGACTGCGAGGCAGTATTGGTAAAAAAAAAAAACACCAACACCATACATGAAATTTTGTTCCCCAGGTACAGACTTCCCGTAGTAAAAATGGCGACGCTGCTCCCTCCTTCCCTTAATCTGAGCCAAACTGTTGCCCACAGCGACCATGGCCGCCAGGCCACGCGTTCCCATTGGCTGCTGCTCCGAGGCCCCGCCCCTCCGAGCGTGGGCCGGGAATCGCGGGCCGGGATCTCGCGGCGCTCGGCCGGGCCGCGCCTGCGCAATTCATTGGCGCCAAGATGGCGATGGAGATGAGGCTGCCGGTGGCTCGCAAGCCTCTTAGCGAGAGTCTGGGCCGCGAGACTAAGAAACACCTGGTGGTGCCAGGGGACACGATCACCACGGACACGGGCTTCATGCGGTGCGTGGGGACCCGGGGACTCGGGGCCGCGAAGGGCGGCCGCGGGGCTCTGCACGTGGCCCGCGGGCCGGAACCTGGGCCTCTGTCCCCGGATACAGCGCCCGCGGGACCCGGGGCACATCTCCGGAGCGTCCCCGCTTTACAAGGCCTCGGGCGTCTGCTCCCTGCATCCGTGTGTCCCCGGGTGCGTTCGTCTCAGACCCTTGAAGCCCTTCTCCGCTGGCCGGGAGAGACAGATGCTAAACAATAAGCACAACAAACAAGCTATTGAGGATGTTCGGTGATGAATCCAGTGGGGGAAATGAAAAGTTGGGCAGACTAAGTGGAATGTGGTTTGGAATACGGTGTGGGTGGAGCAGAGGGGTAGGTGACTGTTTTAAATGGGGCAGCCAGCGTGGGCCCGATGGAAAAAGGGACATTGGTGCAGACCTGAGTGAGACGAGGGGATGTCCATGTAGCTCTTAGAATAGGAGAGAGCAGTGGCACAAAAGTCAGGCTCGAGGGAGGAGGCCCTGGTAGTTGGAGGAATACATTGTTCTTGACAAGTGTTACCTGCTATCCTTTGTGTCTTCTTGCAACAGGGGCCACGGGACTTACATGGGGGAAGAGAAACTTATTGCATCCGTGGCCGGTTCTGTGGAAAGAGTAAACAAGTTGGTCTGTGTGAAAGCTTTGAAAACCAGGTGAGAGCAGAAGGTGTGTATTCTCTTTCCTGTGGCGTCCACCTTGCACAACCAGGCCTTTTCTCCCACGCCGTGCCTCCCACCCCCACCTGCCTGCCCTGGCATTCTGTGGGTCTGCGATTTGGAACATGTATAGGTGGCTAGGCAAGTGTGGGCTTCGAAGATTTCCTCACATTACTTAAAAACAAAAAAACCCCAAAAACTAAGATTCTGAGGTTTTTGGTTTGAGCAACTAACTGTAGGATGGAGTTGTCCTTTACTGAGATGGTGACCTCTGGGAGAGGATCAGTTTGTGATGGAGGAGGGGGAGCTGGAGCTTTGTTGTAGGGGTGTTACATTTGAAAATGCCTGTTAACCGCGCCTATTAGAGATGTTGGTGCCAGCAGTTGCCTGGAGTCGAATTCAGGGGAGTGGTGCAGCCTCGTGCCTTTAGGTGGATGAACTCACAAAGAGGTGAGCGTGGGCTGAACAGAGAAGAGGCCCAAGGCCTGAGCCTTCAGCGTGTCATTGGGATCGGGGCGAAGAGCTGGCAAAGGGCCTGGCAGGAGCCGCCAGTGGGTGCGGGAGACAGTGGGTAGACTGGTTTGGGTGGCGTGCGGTCTCACTCTCCTTTCTCCTCTCGTGGCTGTGCTCTGTCGCCACCAGGAAATACTCCGTGTTTATCATTGTCTGTAGTTAACAAAAGAGAGGTTCAGGCTTCATGAACTGCTGTAGGGAATGTTCGCTGAGGAATAGTTGACGAAGACTGTGTACTCGCAGGAGTGCTTGAAGTGATCAGTGCCTGAGGATAAGTCCCAACAGCATAGTGGTTTGAAGTCACCAAATGTGGTGCCTAATCAGGGCCCTCATCCTGTTGAACTGAAATCTCAATAGCGCTTGGTTTTGTACTCTAGTCTTTTACTGATGGGTCACCATTTGTTTTGTCTTTCAGATACAATGGTGAAGTAGGGGACATCGTGGTGGGGAGGATCACAGAGGTAAAGTCATGTCATCTTGGTCTTTACGTAGTAAAAGCAAGCTGGTGCCGTAATGAATGGGATAGCATTCTGTGCAGTTACGTGAACAAAGAGTCACTGCATTCGGCTCGATGTGACCTGGGGTGTAAACAGTGGCTTGTTATTTGGGGTTATTGGTCACTCGTGTTGCGCAGTCTTGGCCCTGGAGTATGTGTCCAGCTGTGGAATTTCTTTGTTTCTAGGTTCAGCAGAAGAGGTGGAAGGTGGAGACGAACTCCAGGCTGGATTCCGTCTTGCTGCTTTCTTCCATGAACCTTCCAGGAGGAGAGCTGGTGAGGGGCTGCGGCTGGGACTGATTTGCTGCGAGAGCTCTGGTCTCTGCTCCGCCAGAAAGCTCTGTTTTTCATGGGGGTTGCCCGCTTACTCCTGCTTCTCTGCTGGGATGTTTGCTGCCCGATGTCACATAGGCTTTTCCCTTGGCCCACGCCTCCCCAAGTAGGCAGCAATTGGGGTGTAGTGAGATCTGGAGCGTCCATGGGGAGGAACCCCAAAAGGGAGTTGGAAATAAGCTCTCAGAGGCTCGGTGCTTACAGTTTTCCTTCTGGCTTCATCAGCTTTGAAAAGTGTGTTTTGCATTTAGATTTGATTCCAGGAATTGAGTGGCATTGGGTTACTCCAGGCAGCTGCGGCCTTTTGTAAAAGGTCCTGGTTTCCCTTGGGCGAGGTTCTGTGGAGAAGCAGGACAAAGGAGGCGTGACTGAGTTCCTGAAGCTTACAGACTACCAGGGATGTAGATAACCGGCAGTGAAGAGTGTGGGATTGTACAGAGAGGATTAATTTCAGTGAAACACTCATAGGAAAGGTGGGCACTAGAGTTGGTCCTTGAAGGATGGATAGAATTTCAAGGATGAACTGGGGATATCAGAGAGGAAGGGGAATGTGTGAGCAAAGACAGTCAGGCTGGAGGCTGTCCAGTCCTGCTGGAGTGGGCAGGGCTGCCCGGGAAGGTCACTGGGAAAGTAGGCTGGGCTATCTTCGGAGGGTTCTGAACACCATGTCCAGAGCTTTAATACTTCCCAGAGGAGGGAGAAGGAGAAGAGCTGTGGGAAGGTTGTAAGTGGTTGTCACTCTCATCTCCTTGAGGGGCATAGGTTACCTCAGTGGTTGGCAAACTGCGGCTCAAGAGTCACATGCTGTTTGCCGCTCTGTTGACTATTGGGTTTGCCGACCACTGGGATAGGGGCTTAATCACAAGGAGCACCAACAGCTTGTAATTATTGGAATCCAGAGTCTAGGTCAGTGGTTGGCAAACTCATTAGTCAACAGAGCGGCAAACAGCATGTGACTCGCGAGCCGCAGTTTGCCGACCACTGGGTTACCTACACTAGTGTTTGGGTACTGTGACTGCATTTAGAGATCTTGCAGTGAATGAGAAAAGGGAAGCAGGAGCCCTTTCTGTCGGAGCTGACTTCAGTAACGCGTGCCTTTGTGGTTTCAGAGGAGAAGATCTGCAGAAGACGAGCTGGCCATGAGAGGCTTCTTGCAGGAAGGAGACCTCATCAGTGTATCCTGCACCGTGCGCTCCAGCCTCTCTGCTGGTGTGGCGCTGGGAAGTGGGGCTTAAACTGTCTCCCACAGGAGAAGCATCCGCGTCCCAGATGGAGCGTCGGGCTCTCCTGCAGCCCTTCTCCGGGTCCTTAACGCAGGGCGACGCTCCAGCTCTGGTCACAGCTGGGCTGCTCCGTCACTTCTGTGGGTCTTGTAACTGATGTGGCCGTGCTTTAAGCCAGACTCATATCTTCTTAATGACATTAACTTTTACCCCAGGTTGTAGGAAAGGTGTTATTCATAGCAAGATATTCATGGCTAGAGGGTGAGGTTAGGTCATGGTCATGCCCTTCCGGTCCAGGACTGCCCAGCGGGACCGTTGGGTGGGAGGAAAGGATGGGAGAGGGGCCAGGGCAGAGGGGATGCAGATGGCATGAAAAACGTTCGCTCCTTCATCACCCTGGCCAGGCTGAGGTGCAGGCAGTGTTCTCTGACGGAGCTGTTTCCCTGCACACGAGGAGTCTGAAATACGGAAAAGTAAGTTGGGCTCTTGCTGTTCCTGTTTGTCGAACAAGACTTCAGATTCATTTCTGAATCCTCAGAGCCCTGGAGTTCTGACCCAAAGAACCCCAGAAGTTAGGGCCCCAGACCGGCATGCCACACAGTCATGGCCGTAGCGTTGTGGTGGACAACTTTTACCCTTACTTTACTGATGAGCTTTCCTGGCAGGAGCCCCAGGACCGAGGACCCTGCGGCCCTGCTGTCTGCTCCCTCCGGTGGGTGCTGAGCTGGGGCCGGGGCTGGGAGGCAGTTTGGAACAAAGGGAAGTCTCGGACTGATGAAGCAGGAGAGTAACTCAGACAAACGTCTAATCAATAAAATGGATATTATCTTAGAACGATTGTTCACGTGAGCCTCTAAATGAAGTTTTACTGCTTTTCTTCTATCAGGTTACATTATTGATGCTATTTTTTTTTAAATGACAGCTTCCCAAAACAAATTATGACTTGTTAGTATCTTGGCTTTATCTGAATGAAGCTTTTCATTTCCTTCTCTTAATGGAGTGGCTACAGCCAACCACGTTCATGTCCTTAAAGCAGGAGGTGAAAGTTAGCCTGCACACGCTGACCTTTTGGGCCTGGGTACTGCGGACCCTCCCTTGGCGGATGTGGGGTTTGGGCTGTCCTGTCAGAACCAGGGCTGGGCGTGCACCCTTGTCAGTCCCCAGCCCAGTGCTGCACATCTTGTTGGCAAGCTAGGTGGTTGGGGTCAAGGTGCAGCAGACAGCGCTCCTTGGCCTGCAAGAGGCTCCAGCCAGGTCCTCATTGGCCCCAGCTTCTCCAGCAGTCAGCGCACAGCCCTGGCTTAGAATGTGTTGGTTGTGATTGCAAAGGAAAATGGCACAGAAGGATACTGAAAGTCACCTTTCTTGGGATATGTCAACAGTTCCACCTAGAAGTGTTCTCTGAATAATTACTGTACATGTGCAGATGGTGACCCGCAGTTACTAACGAGAAGGACTGATTCCACAATAACTAGGACATGCATTCTGCAATCTGCTTTTCCTCCACCTACTGGTCCCACGTGACTTACGTGTGACGTCTCTCTCCAGCTAGGTCAGGGTGTTCTGGTCCAGGTGTCCCCCTCCCTGGTGAAGCGGCAGAAGACTCACTTCCATGACCTGCCTTGTGGTGCCTCAGTGATTCTGGGTAACAACGGCTTCATCTGGATCTACCCTACCCCTGAGCACAAAGAAGAGGACGCAGGGGGCTTCATTGCAAACCTGGAGGTGCGTAAACACCTCTGTAGCTGTCGGGACAGTGTACTCAGTCTTCCTTCTGCTTCTTAACTATATTATTGCTGTTTTTAACTATATTGCTGTAGTGTGTTAGCTTGAAGTGTTTTGTGAAATTGCTTTGCCCTCTCTGAAGAGATGAGGTCAGCAACAGATGGCAAAGTTGTAGGGTAGTAGCTGAAGAGCCACTGAAGAAGCCTGCCTTTTTTAAAGCCTTGCCTGGGGATATGCTTAAAAAAAAAACAAAGATTTTAGGGAGGGGAGGGGGGCGGAGGAGGGAGAAGGAGAGAAACATCGATGGGTTCTGCCTGTACTCACCCTTAGCAGGAATAGAGTCAGCGGCCTTTCGGTGTATGGGATGATGTGCCAACCCCCTGAGCCACACTGGGCAGGCAAGAAGCCACTTTTGTGAATCCTGCTGGAGTTAGCCTTTTGACTGGTTTGGCGTACCAGAGGGATAACGGAGTTATAAGTGATTTCTGTGGTTTGCTGTGACCGTTCACTTATTTTGGTCCTGTTTCTGTTCCCCTCCCCTTTCCCTCTGCATCCCCTGGCAGCCGGTCTCCCTCACTGATCGAGAGGTGATCTCCCGGCTTCGGAACTGTATCGTCTCGCTGGTAACGCAGAGGATGATGCTCTATGATACCAGCATCCTGTATTGCTACGAGGCATCCCTTCCACATCAGGTACTCCTCCCAGGCTTCCCTTTTCCTCATTGGTCTGGGAGCAGTATTGCATATTTATCTATTTACTCCGTGTCCATCAGGATGAACCGATCGGATGGACAGCCCTAACGAGTGTCTGGAGCTCTCCCCAAGATACCTGTAATAGTCTCAGTGTGTCTAGTGTCACAATAAGGGTTTGGGGCAGGGGTCCTCAAACTTTTTAAAGTGGGGGCCAGATCACGGTCCCTCAGAGAGCTGGAGGGCCAGACTATATGAACTACTAATTCCTACTGTAACACCTCGGCTGCGCTCACTGCCCAAAAAACCTGGCGGGCCGGATCAGACTCCTCTGCGGGCCGCATGTGGCCCGCGGGCCGCAGTTTGAAGACGCCTGGTTTGGAGCGTGAAAGTTATGACAGCAACCCTCTGGACTTCACCTTGCCCATTCCATTTTCAGCTCTCTGTTTAGTGAGTGCTGGAAACCTATCTTATTCTTCTCAGCTGTATCCCAGAGAACCTTCTAGCAGATCGTATCCTGTAATACTTAGCCTCTGATAAATGAAACAGAAAGAACGATAGAAGGCTTGTGTTAACCATGCCTGCTTTCTGCATTCGGCCTGATTTGATGGCCTGCTTGTGGTTGGTTTCTTTTCTGAATAAATACTTTTTCCTTTCTTTTTCAGATTAAAGACATCTTAAAGCCAGAAATAATGGAAGAAATTGTGATGGAAACGCGTCAGAGACTTTTAGAACAAGAGGGATAAGCAGAAGCATCTGAAGGCCAGGACTGTGTACCTGACAGAGCAGTTCTTGAAAGTGAAGATCCGAGCTGTAGTTCCGTGTGTGGCTCCGAAACCCATCCTGGACGTACGTTGGGCTGCCTCCGGACAGACCTGCTTGCTTCTGTTCGAAAGCCAAACCTGGGACAGGTGACCTGTGCTGCCTGCCCCTTGGGCTGCCTGCAGATCCTAGCACTTCGGTGGTTTGTGGTCTTTAAAAGTACACAGTGTTCCAAGTGGACTCCCATCCTGGAATAATACAAAGACTCCTTCCTTTTCTACTTAACCATCAATCCATAAAGCACAGTGCCTCAAGAAATTGCCTGAATAGCTCGGCTGGTATGGCTTAGTGGTTGGGCATTGACCCATGAACCAAGGAGTCCCTGGTTGGATTCCTGGTCAGGGCATATGTCCAGGTTGCAGGTTTGATCTCCAGTAGGGGGCATGCAGGAGACAGCCAATGGAAGTCTCCCTCTCTCATCAATGTTTCTATCTCTCTCTCTAAAATCAATAAAGCAAAAACAACAACAATAAAAATGGCTACTTGACCCCAAATTGTCTGTTTTGGCTTCCATTCCCACCTCCTCTGCTGTACAAGTACAACCTTGAAGAATATAGTTGGTAAGTTAGCCCAGCAGTCAATAAACTTAACCAAGCAGCCTTTTGCTGGGTTGGAATCTTCCCTTCGCATGTTCCTCCTACTGGTAGATTCAAGGGCATCCACACCAGGCTGCCGTCTGTCCTGCCATTGAGGGTGATTTGTAAGAAGTTGAATTATTGATGATAGAATGAATGTTTTGGGTGTTCCTCCTATAATTGAAGTAGCAATGCATTAACTTCTTTTTTTTTTTAATTGATTTTTAGGGAGGAAGAGGGAGAGAAATACTAATCTGTTGCCTCCCACATTTGCCTCTACCTGGGTGTGTGTCCTGACGGGATGGAACCTGCCCCTTTTGGTGTATGGCATCCCCCAGCAGCCTGTCTCCCTTACTGAGCAAGAGGATCTCCCGGCTTTGGAGATCACTAATTGAGCCGCACTGGCCAGGGCAAGATGCTGACGTTATTAAGAAATGCCAGAATTCCTGTGCACTGGTTTGTCTGATGTAAAATAAAAAAATGGTGCTGGGACCGGTTTGGCTCAGTGGATAGAGTGTCGGCCTGCGGACTGAAAGGTCCTGGGTTCGATTCCGGTCAAGGACATGTACCTTGGTTGTGGGCACATCTCCGGTGTGGGATGTGCAAGAGGCAGCTGGTCGATGTTTCTCATCGACATTTCTAACTCTGTCCCTCTCAATTCCTCTGTGTAAAATCAATAAAATGTATTTAATAAAATAAAATTTTAAAAAATGGTTTAAAGGCACTGTTTCTGTTCTTGTGTCCTTTGTAATACTTGAGAACTGAGTACAGTTGAAGGAGGACATAGCAGATAAACATTCTGCCAGAGGCTCTAACTACTGAGGTCACCTAATAAAAATTTAAACCTAGGAGAGTTTCAATGGTGGTAACATGGAACACTGTTTTTGACAATTTTGAATAAAGTTTGGCTGTTTTTCATTAAGTGATATATATATATATTCAATATATTTTTATTGATTTTCAGAGAGGAAGGGATGGCAGAGAGAAATATCAATAATGAGACAATAGGCTGCCTCCTGCACACCCCCTACTGGGGATTGAGCCCACAATCCAGGCAAGTGCCCTGATAGGGAATTGAAAAGTGATTTCCTGGTTCATAGGTCGAGACACCACAGAGCCACATCAGCCAGGCATAAAGGGTATATTTCTTGTTTATAATACTCAATAGACAATTTTTAAATATCTCATTCTTTTTCTGTTCCAAGTGTATCAGTTGTTTTGAGGAGTTTGCAGACAACTGAATATTCTACAGGCTGTTGCAACTTAGGTTTGCTTACCTGTCATTTTTGAGAACACAGGCCAGGCCATATGCCTCTTGAGAGAAGGGAATAAAAGATGGGAGCTCGAGTCCCTGGTTTGGTTTGGTTTTAACCAAGGCCATATGTGAGCTTATTGAAAGTTATTCTTCTCAATGAACCATCCCGAGCTGCCAACCTATGCTGTTCAGTATCTGCTGAAGGGTGGTACCTCAGAGTAGAAATAAGAGGGCTAAAGCACCTTTTAGTGGTTATTTTCTGTGGCCCACTAGAGGGCGCCCTTGTTAAGTATATTCTAGCGGGCGGAAGAAATGGAATAAACTGAACGGAATAGGATAGATGAATTACACCGGTACTGAAGCCCTTTAGCAATTTGGTGGATCTATTGTCAGGATTTCCTGGGCTCTGTTTCAAGTTCTCAAAATATTCTACAGTGTTCTACACGGGGTAAAAAAGTATATTGAATCTCTAAAAATATAGACTGGGCTTGGGGCTCACCTAAAATTAGAAAATGGCTAAAGTAGAGAATGGAGATTTGGGATAAGTGTTTAGATTAAGTACAGCTGGCCTCTATACTGACTTTCATAAAACAATTTCAATTTTTGTGGAAAATCAAGATCTCATTTGATCCTCCTGATAGCCTTGTAAAGTTGGCAGAAATGACTCCATTTAAAAGTGAAGAAAGTGATTCATGGAGTTAAATGACTGGATTAAGCCCATTAACAACTAATGAGAAATAGCTTTAAGCTTTAGAGATGTATCAGAGCAATCCAGGGTAGCCTAAGACCATCGGAAAACACAGATATTTACATTATGATTCATTAATAGTAGCAAAATTACAGTTACAAAGTAGCAACGAAAATACAATAATTTTATGGTTGGGGGTCACCACAACATGAGGAACTGTATTAAAGGGTTGAGACATTAAAAAGGTTGAGAACCACTGCATGGGTATATAAAGGAATATGGGTCTTCAAGTTTTAAGAATGATCTGCAAGCCAGGACCAAGTTTGTCAGCCAGATTGTTTTGTGACAGAGCAAAGATTAAACCAAATAACGTGAATATAAATTCTAGCTCTGAATCTGTGCACAAATTTTCTCTCATGTGCTTCACATTCATTCCCTCCAGGTGGCTATTTCTTGAAGTCTATGTAAAAACATAATTTCCCAATCCAGCAGAAATATTCCCAAGATACATACAAGACCTACAATTTGGCTGTGGTTTTCCCCTAATATCAGTGGCAACTTATTAAAAAATCAGTGTCTAATGAGGCCAACACTTGTTTGATACTGAAAACCATGGGTTTTGGAGCAACATCAACTGGACTCAAATCGTGACTTTGTCACATGCTAAGCAAGTGACCTTGGGTAAGTCACGTTTCTGAAGTTTTTCCCAGCTGTATAATGGGAATATTTCATGCCTTATTGGGCTTTAGTGAGGATTAAATGAGATAATACAGTTTATGAAAAGCATAGCAGTGCCTGGTGTACAGTAGGCGCTGTGGTGAGTGGATCCTCTTAGAAATGGGTGTACAGTGACTTGGTCAGGTGCACCATGGGAGACATGGAGAGTAAAGAGTAGGGAACCAGGGTGCCTTTTAGTTGCTGAACATGGGTTCTGACAGGTGTGGGCTTGTGTCTGGGTCATTGGGCAGTTCTGCAGGCCTGGTGCCAACAGGCCGCGCAATTTCTGGGCTTACACGGTGGCTGTTTTCATGTGAATACATGTACACCTGTGAAATGAGGTTTTATGGTAAAGGTTCCTCTTAAGCATCTGTGATTGCGCCTGGCTTAGCCTCTGAGCGGCTCCTGATGCTCCAAACTACAAAGAAACAATGAATTCTCTAGCAATATGTCGGATGCTTTCCAGTCATTTTTTTCCCCGCTAGTTCTAATATTTATACTTCTTGGGGAAACGGTGGAAATTTAGGGTCGGGGAGTGGGCACCAAAAACCTTGGTTTCCAGGAGGGAGCCAAATTTTCTCAAAGAGCCTCAAGGAAGTAATCCAACTCCGGTTCTGGGAAAATCCAAACCATGGTTTTCTCCTTGCTTTGGTTCCTCGCGGGTCTTTCAACTCGCGCAGGGGAGAAAGTTGGCCAGCCCGAGCGAGACCGGCTAGAGTCCACCGGCTCCCAGGAGGGTGGGACCGGAACTCAGGAGCCTGGGCAGAGGGCAAGAAGTCGAGGGTGCGCGAGGACAGGTGGGGGGGGGGCGGGGAGGAGAGGCGGGGAAGGAGGGCTATGGGACCACAGTTCCCGACATGCCCTGCGGGCTGCGCCGAAAACGGTTGGCTGGGAGCTCTAGCTTTACTGCTCCTGTCAGCCAATAGGACGCAGGGGGGAGACATGACCCGGATTCTCGGGGACCAATGGTGAGGCAGGGGAGGCGGGCGCTTCCTTACTATTCACCGTGCCCTCGGAAAAATCCCATTGCCGTGGTTGGGCCGGGGCGGGCTCTGGCGGGCACCGGGGGCTGAGCGGGAAGGTGTGGCGGCGCCGCGAAAACGGCGCCTGGAGGGTCCCGGTCCCCGTGCGGCGCGCGCGGGACGCCGCTGGGGGCGGGGCCGGAGGCGGGGCCTGGCCTCGTTGTGGAGCGGCTCGTAATCCATCATGGCGGCCGCGGGGGTCAGTGTCCGTTCCTGAGCCGCGCCGGAGCCGGAGCCGGTCCCGGGTCCTGCAGCTGAGGAGCAGCGCCGCTGTCCACGGCCCCTACCTGCGGGGCGCGGCCGGGCCCCGCGGCGGAGCCCGGGGGATGTGACTGCCTGGCGGCTGCGGCGACGTCCGGGGCCGGGGGAGGGGGTGTCTCGGGCAGAGACCCCCGGGCTCGGGGCAGCTGAGGCGGCCGGGCCTCCTCCCCGCTTCGCCGCCTGCCCCCTGCGAAGCCCCGCGAGCCTCTGGGCCCTCAGAGCCCTGCGCCGGCTCTGGGACCCTGGGGGTGGTCTCCCGCCCCCGGACCCGGGGCGCCCGGCTTCCTGAGGCGACGGGGAGCGTCGCCCCGGAGTCACCGCCCGCGCCGCGCCCGGCCGCCTCCCCCTCCCCCTCCAGCCGCCCCTTCGTCCGACTCCCGGCCCCTCGTTTGGCCTCGAACTCCCCACCCCCCTTCCATTCAAACCCCCTCCCTGCTGTCCAGGCCCCTCCACCCCTTCTCCCCAGGCTGCTCCGGGAGCCTCCATGCCCTGACTTCTCCCAATGTCACCGACGGCGCCCCTCGCCTCAGCCCTGCCCAAAACTTCCATGCGGAGGAAGAGTCTGGACTCGTTTCACAGGCCTTTTAAAAAGCGGCCCTACGAGTTGCCGGCCGTGCACTCCTCCTCGGCGGAGCCCGGGGCCCGCGCCCGCTGAGCCCTCCGGACGCGGGGCGGCGGGAGGCCTGTCCGCGGATGGAGAAGCGGCCGGGGGCGGCTGACCTCCGCAGGGAAGGTTCTGGAGCAGCCTCCGAGGACGACCCACGGCTCCTTTGCGTGTGGGAACCAGCGCGATGACCTGGGCAGTCGCCCTGGTGCAGCAGCATCTCCTGTGAATCTCTCCGGTGAGGCGTTCCTCCTGGAAAGAAACCTGTCGTTCAGCCAGTAAAAAGGACACTTACAACCAAGCAACTTTTGGGGGGCGTTGCAGTGACTGCGGATTGACAGACTGCGAGCATAGCGGACCCCTGTTTGCACAGGCCGCCTGGGCTGGGAGGTGTTCAGTGACTGCCCTCCGCCCTGACTCGCGGGCATCGGGGGGTGTGAAACCCCACGTGGAACGTGGGCCGTTGTCCTGAGCTCACGGGCCATTCTGAGACCGCGGACCCTCTTCTGGAAAGGGGCACCTATCCTTACTTTATGGGGCAGCAGCCTGGAAAAGTCCTTGGGGACCAGAGGAGGCCGAGCTTGCCTGCCCTGCACTTCATCAAGGTAGCAGGCAAGAAGGAGTCACCCCGGCACGGCGGGCCGCCCTGCAATGTGTTCGTGGAACATGGTGAGTGCTCGGCCGCCGCGGGACCAGCTCGGGGAGCGCAGGGGGCGGTGAACGGCGGCACTCGCGCTGGCTCCTTCCTGGGCTCCTTAGGACTCTGCTACTGTAGCTCTCTCGGTTTCTTTGGAGGAGAAAAGGTTGCTTGGGTGGGGAGGGGACGTCCTCATTCAGTATTTTTTTTGTTACTTGTTTCTTGTCTGGCTCTCGCCGGCTGTCGGTTGACCTTGGACAAGCCATTTTACTCTGCCAGCTTCCTGAGGAGGCTGGGCTCCTGCTTTCCCAGGATCCACAGTCCACCATTGTGCTCCAGCCCGAGGCGCGGGCTCTTCCCCTCAGGTGCACAGGTCCTTTTCCCCTTCAGCTGCAGGGAGCTTTGGCCAAAAGCTTAAGAATCGCGGGCCCTGGTTGGCCCTGACGGCCGTGCCCTTCTCCGTCATAAGCACTCCCTTTGGGGTCTGGGAAAAGTCAAGCGGGGAGCAGCATTCCATGGGACTGGTGTCCAGCCTCCAGTTATTTACCTTGTGCAGGGGTCGTCCTTTCCCAGGGATGGAGTGAAAGTTCCTCCTCCACTGACCCTGTTTCAGATGGCATTTGGGGCAAAAAAGGTGTCTCTGACATTTTTTGGGACATAGTTGGCATTTGAGTTCTGGCAGTGCATGTTACTCTTCACTTCTAGTAATTCTGTGTGAAGTTGTTTTTATTTTTTCCTTTTTAAAATTATTATCTGTGTACATACCTTACCTCCCCCTCCCCTCCCCCTCCCCCCGTGAAGTGTTTTGTTTTTTTAAAATATATTTTATTGATTTTTTACAGAGAGGAAGGGAGAGGGATAGAGAGCGGGGATGTGCCCTCAACCAAGGCACATGCCCCAGACAGGAATTGAACCCGGGACCTTTCAGTCCGCAGGCCGACGCTCTATCCACTGAGCCAAACAGGTTTCAGCTCTGTGTGAAGTTTTAAGTAAGGGTCAGCTTAGAAGATGACTGTAATGGGTGGGATTAATTAGGGTCCTCTTTATAGATACACTTGCAGCCTGACATTTTCCAGATTGGTACTTTATATTAAAACTAGAGACTCATTGCATGACATTTGTGCAAGAGTAGGCCTTCTCTCTGGTACCCCGGACCAGGGCTTCCCTCTGGCCACCTGCAGGCACCTGAGACCCAGGCTTTCCTCACAGCCCCGGCTTCATCCGGAAGGACATCTGGAAGGACGTCCGGTCTGATTAGCATATTATGCTTTTATTATTATAGATATTGGTTGAGTCCACTGATTCTATAAGCAAAGGTGTGTGCAAGTGGCATATACTTTAAAATTCAACCATAAATACCTCTTAACCATGGATGACTACAATAAACAAAGGTCTCTGTTCATTGAATTTGCACTTGACAGTTGAGGTTTTGACTTTCTTACAGAAAAATATTGACCTTATCTAATTGTTCCGGGTACTTGGGTTTTACTTTGCTTAAAACATTTGGTTATATTTTAGCATTGGTTTTAGACAGGCAAATATGGTAATGTGTTATGTTCTGGTGCTTCCCCAATTCAGCATTTGTAAAGTGAATTCTTTGCATTTTAAAATGCTGGTGAAATAGGAAAATTGGTTCAGACTTTCAGGAGAGCTTTGACCAAACTCAGGATTTAAAGTGTATATAGCAATGAGCCAGTAAAATCTCACTCTTGGGAAACTATCCCAGTACAGAACAGTATAGTCCCTAGATGTTCCTAATATACCCCTTTGGGGGCCCAGGGTTAAAACAGTTTACATATTAATGCAATACCAAGATGTTACTGTACTCTGCATGAATGGTGCAAAAGTAATGTGTGAATCAAGGCTGTGGTACCTAACTGCTAGTTTACTGGTAGGCATGTATGCATGCTGTGCACCCATAGTTTTTTAAAAAAAGACTTTCACTTAAGAATGTCCTTGGTGAAGTAGCAAAAACTGTTAATTTGATCCTTGTGTATATGTATTTAATATCCTGTGGGATGAAATGGGAATTCACAGTGCTTTTCTGTTGTGTATTGATTATCTCTAGGCAGAGCATTGGGGCAGTTGTTTGAGTTGCAGTCTGAACTAGTGCTTATATCATGGACTATCATTTTTACTTGAAACTATGATGAAAAACGACGACTGACAAATGATGGTTATTCAGAGTTAACATATAAAAGAGTCTTTCAAAGAAAACAACTGGTAGTATCTGTTGCCAAAGATAAAAATTTTAGCTTTCCAGCAAAAAATAGATTGTGGAAATAATCATATCTTATAGAGATTGGTGATACTATTTATAAATGTGGTATTTTGATATCCTTCTGTATAATAACTTAATATTCTAAGTGTCCAGTCAACCTGTTGGCTGTTCAACCAAAGAGTAATATGCTAATTATATGCTAAGGCCGCTCAACTGCTTACTATGATGTGCAATGACCACCAGGGGGCAGACAGTTGACGGGTCAGTCAATCTCTATGATGTGCAATAACCACCAGGGGGGCAGACAGTTGACCGGTTGACCAGTTGCTATGACATGCACTGACCACCAGGGGGCAGATGCTCTGACCAGTAGGTTAGCTTACTGCTGGTGTTCAGCCAATTAGGACTGAGTGAGCCGGGCTGGACATACCCTGGAGCCCTGCCTCGGTCCCTCCCTGGCTGGCTAACCTCCTGCATCCCTCCCCGGGCCTGATTGTGCATTGGTGGGGTCCCTTGGCCTGGCCTGCACCCTCTCGCAATCTGGAACCCCTCGGGGCATGTTGGAAAGCCAGTTTCGACCCAATCCTGCAGGCCACGCTGCGGGACCCCACTGGTGCACAAATTCATGCACTGGGCCTCTAGTCTTATAATCAAATGTATTATTTGGAAGATCTACATAATTCAGTGAATCACTCTTTTCTAAATGATTTACACATGATATTATAAAATCACATACAGGTAAAAGATTCATTCAAGATATAAGATGGACCAATGAATTTTTATGTAACAATACCAAAGTTCATTGTTACAGTTTTAGATTCTACATTACAGCTAACCTTAGGAAACTACCAGTTACCAAGTTTTGGTGTAGCTTCAAAGAATATCTATAGTTATCTAAAAATAGGTTGAAACATTTATTTTTCAGTTATAATAAGAACATTTATTTTTAAATGAATAATTAAAAATTTTCAGTTTAAACTTCTAGAATGATAAATAATGATGAGATAAGCTATACAAACAAAAACTCTTCAGGGTCCTCAATAATTTTCCAGAGTGTCAAAGAGGTTTGAGGAAAAAAAAGTTTGCCTTAGCTGGTTTGGCTCCGTGGATAGAGCGTTGGCCTGCTGACTGAACGTTCCCAGGTTTGATTCTGGTCAAGGCCATATGCCGGGGCTGTGGGCTCGATCCCCAGTAGGGAGCATGCAATAGCCAGCCGATCCATGATTCTCATTATTTATGTTTCTATCTCTCTCTCCCTCTACCTTCCTCTTTGAAATCAATAAAAATATATTTTAAAAAAAGTTTGAGAACTGCTGCTATAGAGAGTATATAGAGGGCACATAAGGATGTGTACCGACATACTGTAAAGTATTAATACTGAAAGATGTCCATGTAGTGGCAAAAGGGAATTGGAAGATCAGTCTGCATGATGTGGCGCTCGCGCGCTCGCGCGCTCTCTCTTTCTCTCTCTCTCTCTCTCTCTCTCTCTCTCTCTCTCTCTCATTTTTATTGATTTCAGAGAGAGGAAGGGAAAAGGAGAGAGATAGAAACATCAATGATGAAAGAGAACCATTGATTGGCTGCCTCCTGCACGCCCTAGGACTGGGAATCGAACCGTGACCTCCTGGTTCATAGTTTGACACTCAGCCACTGAGCCATGCTGCCCGGGAACTCATCATGTTTTTGATAGTCTGTTGGATATCTTACCCTTTGGCGTTTGGAGATTTTTTTTTTATTTTTTTATTTTTTTTTTATCACTGCAGTGTAGGTTTTTTTGTTTTTTGTTTTAAGTAAATACAAGCAATTATGCCTTTATTATATAAAAGATAGTATATGATATATACTGTTCTGTACTTTTTACTTTTTTGTCTTTCACTCAATATGTACTCAGGATCTCTCCGTTGGGAATATGGGTGTCTTAGTTTTTCTTATGGCTGCATTACACTATCTTGGAAGTGTCATTGATTTTTCAGCTAGTCCCTCTTTCTGGTCATTTGGTTGTTTGCAGTCTTGAGCTGTTACAGGGCTGCAAGAATAACCTAATATCTGTCCTTTTAACTTGTGCAGGTGTAGGTGTGGGAGAGATTGCTAAAAGTGGGAATGCTGGGCTAGTGCAATTGTAATTTTTATTGGTAGATGTTCCTTTATATGTTAATAGTAGCAGATAGATATTAATATGGATACTGTTTGGTAGATATTACTCCCAAGTTCCCTCCCATCTTGTACTAGGTTATGCTCCCATCGCTGGTAATGTACAAGAGCCTAGCCAAGAGAGCATGTTGTCAAACTTTGGGACTTTTACCAATCTGATAAGAAATAACGTCTTAGTATGTTTTTAATTAGTAGCTCGTATGAATGAGGTTGAGCATTTTTAATATTTTTAAGGAACACATATGTGTATCTTTTTGTGAACCGTCTCACTGGGCTCTTTGTGTGCCAGACACTTAGACAGGCACTTGTGCAGGGCAATGGCCCCTTCACCCCTGTGTCTCACCAGGAACGACCCCACCCCAGCCTCTGAAGTGTCCCAATGAGGCCGTTGTCAGCCCTGGCTGTACTTCAGGATCTCAGGTCCTGCTCCCAGGGATCGACGTAACCCGTGTGGGGAGAGCCTGGCCTGGGTGTTTTGTTTTGTTGTTCAGTAAGGAGTGACTTCATTCAAGAGGAAGATTGCAGGCGGGGAGGGACTGTTGCAATAGGGAGAGCACTCTGACCAGAAGGTCTGCAAGTGTCTCAAGTGTCTCCTCGCCCCACCCCCCACCCCCACCCCCTCTCTCAACTTTCAGTCTGATGGAAATCTAGGCCTTTTTC